CTTATGCTGGAACTTCTTGCCAAATTGTTTTTATCTCTCCTAAATCGTTATCTGATCTTAGCTGCAGGTTGGTAGATTTGCATTGACCTCTCTGTTATGGGTAATTTGCAGGTTTTATTTTCATCTGTTGGTTGTCAAGAACATGGGCATACTCGGCTTCTAAAAGACTATTTAGAGGTGACTTGAACTTTTTTCATGCTAGGTAGAAGCAGAAGTAGTACCTCACCTTTCTATTTTTATTTTTATGTTGTCACATGTAAAAATCACACAAATTTTGCACAGTTAGTCTCCTTTAATTGATAAGAAGGCTATTTCGTGATCGAAATAGAGAAGAATGAAAAGTAACACCATTTTCTGTGGGCACAGATTGTATGTGTTCCATATAAAGATAATTCCTAGGGTTCTGGGTTTGAATGTTCCCAGGGCTGTGTCAAGTTGATTATCAACCGCCATATCACAGTATTTCATTGGCCAAAAGTGGAATTTAGTATAAAAAACGTATGGTGCATGTTTCTATTTTTTATCCTTACTGCTGTTATATATTTCTTGCTTTCTTTAGCCCATGTATCCTAATGTGAGCATTGTATTTTACCTGCAGGTAATGGACTTCATAAATGATGGTGTTGTATCCATGGATGCATTTGTTAATGCCTACAATCAGTCTGCTGTTTACATCTCTATTCCTGTTGACATGAGGTACTTATTTCCCTGTAGATTATTGCCCTTGTAATCTATGTGCTTTTACCTTCTGATATTCATTTATATGCAGTCATGGGAATGAGGAAATGCTCACTACGCTTGCAAGGCTACATGATTCCTTGCTACCGTCCTTAGAGCGAGGTTTCCGCTTGCTGTTTGCATCTAAAGAAAACAATGGCTCCTCAGACATATCTAGTAGTAGTATGCATTCAGATGTTTATCTCAGTTTGAAAATGTTGTCAACAAGGATTGTAAATTTTGGCTGGAAGCTGCTATACTTGTGCTATCTACGTGACGAAGCTTTTAATGGAAGTTACCTTGTTCCAGTTGGAATGAAAATGTTTCCTGCAAGTGTTGAAGATCCCGTCATAAGGACAGACATTCTCATACAGATTGTCAGGGATATCAACGGAATATATTTGCAGTCCCTTGAGGCTCCTACTAAAGGAACATTTCTTCAAAGCATCGAGGAGAATCACAAAGTAATGTCTAAAATTGGGCTATTAAGAGATGCAGGTACAATATTATGTTATTGTGTTTAATAATTATTCAATTACCTATTATTCCTTACTGAACTCTAGTTTGTTAAATATACTGCTTCATGGCTCTGCATGTATACTTCGGTTCTAAGAATCCCCGCGTAGTTGAGAATCCCCCTAAGCGTCAAGGCTCACTCAATAATGGATGAGAATTGCAGTTTCCATTTTTTGGGTTGGGTTTGATTCAGTGTAGATCTATGTGGGGATATTTCCAAATTAAACAAACTTCATTTGGTTCAGCATGTTCCATTTTTTATTTGTGGTGAGTTTCAGTTTGTTAGATTTTTGTTTTGAGGTTAAATGCATTTTTTTGTTTGTTCTGGTTTTAATCAGTTGCAGTTCAGTTTGGTTTCGTTTAGTATGGTTTGGGAAAAACATTATCAAATAGGAACCGAGTTATATGCGGTTTGGTTTCAATTCATATTAATTCGGTTTTGTTTGGTGTGGTTTTGTCATCTCAAACCAAAATCACATATGTGGCTCTGTATAACAATAAACTCTACTACATGCAGGGTGGTTCACTGTGGATGATGATCAATTTCGATTTCTCTCTGGTATTTTTGTCAAGTCTGTGCAAAAGAATATTAGGACAACGCCTAGCATGCCATCCTCTGGGACGAATAGTACACCCCAGGTCGATGAAGACGCTGTAATTGTCGAATCAAAAATCAGTCAAATAAAAGATCTATTCCCTGAATATGGAAAAGGTTTCCTAGCTGCCTGTCTTGAAGTTTATAACCAGGACCCTGAAGAGGTCATTCAGAGGATTCTAGAGGGCACTCTTCACAAAGATTTGCAATCTTTAGACATTTCCTTGGAGGAAACTCCAAAGCCCAAATCCTCTCTTCCTTCCTCATTGGCACCTCCTAAAGACAAGGGTAAAGGGAAGCTGTTCGAATCATCTGAACCCGCCCCCCCCTATAAAACACACTCAAATAGGCAGTTCTTCCAATTCTTCCTCCACATCATCTGTTGTGGTTGGAAGGTATGTGAGGAAGACCGGGAGCGATTTGCCCGACGCTACGGTCCTCAACTCTAGAAGTGAAGCTGACTTGGCAAGGACAGCTGCACTCGCGTCACAGTTTGAGGAGTATGAAGACGAGTATGATGACTCATTCGATGATTTGGGTGTGAGTGTCGCAGGGTCTGCTTTAGAGGAAACAGAAAATATTGATGATGACAAATTGAATTCAGGTAGGGGAGGGAAGTCTTCAGGATTTGATAATAATGCTTCTAATTCAAAATGGAATAAAAAGCCACAATTCTATGTTAAGGACGGGAAAAACTACAGTTACAAAGTGGAGGGCTCTATTGCTGTGAATAACTACGATGAAGCTTCATTGGTTAATCAAGCTCAGAAAGAACTTATACATGGACTTGGTCGAGGAGGCAATCTTCCAATGGGTGCTGTCAAAAGGATTGCAGATTCTATTCCAGGAGAGCAAGGCAAAGGAGGGGGTCGAGGGCAGCAGCAGGTGGGACGTGGGTTTGGACGGGGCCACATTTCTTCTTCTTCAAGTGGTCCTGTTCAAAAGCCCAATGATGATGATGAAGATGAGAGTGGAGTAAAAGAGTGGGGTCGAGGAGGAGGACGAGGAGGGAACTTTAGAGGTGGAGGAGGAGGGCAGAGGGGACGGGGAAGAAATCATTACAAAAAAGACAGAGCCATGAAAAAACACATGGCCGGAGTAACAGGCCATTGGTGAGGCAAATGTTTTCCTCTTAAGGGGAGTGGGTAGTACTAGTAGTATATATGCAAAACTTGGTCCACGTATATGTCTATTTTTCATTTGACGTATGGTCTTACTAATTTTCTGATTCCATAGTCTTGAGGGAGAATTATATGCAAGTTTATCTAACTAAACATATGCACACAAAACCTTACTTTTGATATCTTTTATGAGCAATGACAACAGTAAAAATTTATTACGTCACTGCACACGCAATTACAGTAGCAAGTGCTACAGTCCGCTCTTGTGCAGCCGATTTTCGGAATGTATCCACTCTTAGAATACTATAAGACCTGCTATTGTAACTGTGTGTGCATTACACGCAATTACAATAGCAAGCGTTACAGTATATACTCTTGTGCAGCCTGTGTTCAAAATGTATCCACTCTTGGGCCTTTGAGTGCATTTTCCATTACCTAACCCCCTACAGTTAACTCCTTTTTCCTTACAGCAAGTGATTTTAAAGTCCGTACTTTATGCACGCGATTAAGTCTTACGATGATCAAATTATTCATTGGCACTCAAGAAGCCCTCATTATATTGAATGAATATTTTCAATTATAATCATCTTGAAAGCTACATGTATCATGTATTTATAGATCTCACGAGTGACACATTAAGCTACAATTTTAATGAATAGACAAAAGTTGTAATATTGTTTTATTTGAATGTATTTTACTGTACAACATGACATTTCATGAGTCGACTTCTGAACACACTAAGCTACATTATTTTACTCAAAAATAATGAGTCGACTTTTGAACACAGGCTGGGTTAGGCTTGGACCCGGTTCGGGCCACCCGGCCCGGGAACTGGCCCGGCACGGTACTATGCGGGACCGGCCCGGGAACCGGGTACCGGTTCCGGGTCTAAGCCGGTTTGGGGTGGGTAATCGGATCGGGTACGGGCTTAGGTAAATGAGAACCGGCCCGGCCGGTTCCGGGCCCGGTTCAGGCCTTTCAGTTTTTTTTTTTTGTTGGTTTGGGGCTTTGGGCTGGAATGGGGTTTAAATGGGCTGGAATGGGTCTTTCAGATGGGGGGTGAGGGGGGTAGGGGAAAACAAAAACAAAAAAAATAACCGGGCCCGGACCGGCACCGGTCTACTTCCGGGCCGGTCCCGGGCCTCACAGAATTTTTTTTGGGCCCGGCCGGGCCTAGGTTTGACCCGGTCCCGGAACCGGTTGAGTCCATCACTAGGCTGGGTTAAGGCCTAAGAGTGGATACATTCTAGTTTTGAGCTTTTGACATAGAACTGAACGAGAACAAGATAAATAAAGAACCAAATAAATGACCAATTGCTACGTATGATCTAAAACTTGAAAACCAATTCAATTTCATTTCTCATTTATGTTTTTATTTGAATTTATAAGAAAGAACAGAAAAACTAGAAACAATCTCAAATTGACACCCTAAAATCAAATTAGATCCAGAACCATAAATGATTTAACCAGAGAAACAATCTCAAATTGACACCCTAAAATCAAATTAGATCCAGAACCATAAATGATTTAACCAGAATCAGCCCTGTACCTAAATTGAGTGCTTTTGCTCTAGAATCTAGTAAGGGTGCACTAATGGGACTAGGGGCTGCAGGCCCGATACCGGCACGGTTTGTACCGGAACCGGGCCGAGCCCAGGCCAAGTTTTGTTTTTTTTAAATGTGGATTTTCAAATAAATTCCTTCCCCCACGGCCCCACCCCACCCCCAAACCACCCAACCAAAGACCAAACCCAAAAAATCAAACAAAAAAATGGGCCCCATCCGATCACCATTTTACCAGCCCCATAGCCGGCCCGCCCTAACCCCGGTTCGGGCCCCCAATAGCGGTCCCGGTACCACCAGGTCGGGCCTGCACAGTGACACTAGGGGTGGACTAGGCCTGGGTCGGGCCTGCATAGTGGCAGGCCGGGCCTGCATAGTGACAGGCCGGGCCTGTCTCAATCCTGACACTAACATTATAGGAAGACACCCCCCTACGTGGCTACGTGACACTAACATTATAGGAAGACAAACCCCGACGGAAATTAAATAATTGTGGTGAAATTGTCAAAGATTAAAAACAATTTGTAATTAATAAAGAAACTTGCATATTTCTCCAACTATATATACTGTTAATTAATCTTAAACAATTGGGAATTACTACAGTGAATCCAACCAGAGAAAATAGGTGTACAATGCAAAATCACTCCCCTGGGATTTTTGTGCAACATAACTCAGGGAAATACATAATGCAAACAAGTTGAAACTGGATTTATTACTTGAAGTACTAAATTATAAAGAATTGAACAAATTTCTAATCGCACAACAATAAGTGGTTACACAACGCACTGCTTGATAGCAATGGCGTCACCATCTTCATATCCAGCTATAAACTTCACAACTCTCAAGCTTCATCTCCAGCACCACCAGCTGTGTAGTAACCGACATTTCTGTCCTGCAAAAGTGAAAATGGTACACACCTCAGTAATTCTCACTCTTCTTTTCTAATTTATAGAAGGTAGACGTAGATACTTGCCTGAGATAGCATCCTTTGCTTGTTAAGATATTGTGTCCTTGCCTTGTTAAGTGCTGAGTTAGGTGACTTGTATAGCCTCTATATAAAACATGCGGAGTATGGTTAATTAAAGGTGCATGAATTGCAAAAAAAAAAAAAAAAAAAAATCAATGAGACGAAATAGTCCCAATGTGGGGAGGAGCAGAAGGGAAGCAACCAACCTTTTCAGCCCCCGATATGCGATGTTCAGCACCAGACATCATCTTTTTCCTGGGCATAAAGCTGAAAACCTCTTGAAGATACTCATTTTCCTGGGCACATCAGTTTGGAAATGGGGGTCATTAATAATATACTCTTAAGTCATGGCTAATACTATCAAAGCTCATTAAGGTTAAACAAATAATATATCCAATTAAGACTCCAAAACAGCACATCGATTTCAAGATTAATTTTCTTCAACGAGGTGCCATCTTAAATGCAAAATGATATTTTTACTACATTTAAGTACTCCTAATATATTGATGTTATGATATAAAACCTCAAATTTTAATATTCATAACATCAAAAAGGGTCCACAAGAAAGATGAAACACTAAAAGAAAGCACATATACCTCCATGTGCTTTGCAAATCCACCCCCAAGGAAACGTCTTAAGAAGTTGAGCTGTAATAATCATTTTCACAGACCACCCATGTAAATGCAATTAAACTGAGAACGCCAAAATAAGAGAAAGAGAAGAAAAGAGAATCAACATTTACCTGAATGAGTTCACTCCATGTTGCAGTGTTTAATGACTCTCCACAAATCTTCATAGATGTTTCTGGACTATATCCATACTGAATGTTGTATTGTATGAAGTATGGCAACAGTGATAAGGGTCAATATGACTGAAGTAATATTTGCTTGGAATAAATAATAACAAAATTTCTACCTCAAGAAACTCCTGAACATCCCGAAATGTGTTCCTTTGACTGTTGAGATCTTTCTTGGCAGACCCTTTACCACCCGCCTCTGCTGAAAGATTTCTGACTTGGTTCAAAACTTTTGATCTTAATCCCTGTATGTGGACCAATTCTCTGGAGCTGTCATCAGACCCTTCACCAAAGATCTTTACCAACCCCCCTAGTTCAAAAATCAAAGCAAGCGCTTCACCAGCTGCAATCCGAACTGATCTTTCATCTTTGTCCAGCAGAGTGGATAAGTGAGAGATGGTTCTGGCATTATAAGAGAAGAGAAGTTTATTTCTAGACAGACATGCAATGCTCTAATGCATGTCCCATAAATATACTTCCTATTTTAAGTTTTAAGTTCATGTAGTTCTTTTTTAGACATTCCTAAATGATGTCCTCTTTCCTTATTTGGTAAAAAATGTTTCTCAATCTAATCAAACCTCAAACACCCCCAGTATTTCTTGATGCCAAATAAATATTTCTGGTTCCTAACACCGTGAAAGTCAATATTGGAACTTTATGAAGGGATGTAAGCATGGAAGGAGTACTTTTGTTTTTTGTCCATCTCCATCAATATGACAATATCCGATTAAACAACAAAAAACTGGTGGGGTTCACAGAACTCAAGTATGGTCTTTCCATCCCTAGTTAGCAACTATCATAGTAGAGGTAAGTGAAAGTCACCCCTCCACTTCAAATTCAAGTACATCACTCTTTTCAAAAATATTTATCAAGCATTTTTAAAATGCTATGAAAAGTAAGACTGGAGTTCTGTGAATGGAGGTTGAGTAGAGGGACAAACAAAAACAACATAAATTACACGATGAATAGAAAAATTCCAGAGACCTAAGCAAAAGAAACATTATACTTGCAAGTGCTTAAAAGTAAAATTATGTTCATTTATGGCTCCAGGATCTATTCTTCACATCCCATCTCTGCTACAAATGAAAGGGCAGGGAGGTAAAAAGGCAGAGGTGTGTGTGTATACTCACCCTTGCCAACTTTTGGGATTTTGTTTCCATCCATCCATAGTAGTGATAAGGAGAGACCATGAAGACACTACTGCTGTTATAATTGGTGATGAAGGCTTAGCGGAAGAAACCTAGCATGGAAAATAGAGAGTTAACTTTAAGATCATTTTTAAATCATACGATAGACCAAAAATTAATCAATACAGAATGCTAAGAAACATTTAGTAAAACATGGTAATATTGTATAGCGATTCTTAAAAAATGAGATGCTGGAATGCTCGTGACTGAATGATCACATGCAGACACATTTAAGCAAAATAGCTGAATTCCCAACTCTTAGTTAGGATATGAATGAAGCTTGCTGAGACATTTTGGATTAGCTAGCTTAGCCAGCACAAGTTCCAGGGCTACCTTCTCCCATCTTGTTTGAATAACAAAAAGAAACTTTTGTTTGATTTAATTAACACTCACTCATAGCAAATGCTGTTATGTTTATAGCAGTGTAGTCAAAAGCAAGCACCTGGGCGCTTAAGTGCACCAGGTAAGGCGCAGAACAACCCTAGCGATTGAAAGAATGACATGCGCAGCAACCTGCCTTAGGCAAATGTCTAGCACAGAAACACTGATGCGCGAAAAAATGCTCGATTTAATCGCCTGAGGGGGGATTACGTTTCAACCTATTTTTTATGTTTGAGACTATTTTAAATAATAAGCCCATATTTTAAATAAGATAAAGCAAAAGATTAAAAGGATTTCCATCATTTGCAATGGAGCCAAAGATTCAGTATTTTTTGGCTTGAGAATATGATGGAATATAGCAAAATGGCTCACTAAATTGTGTATGCTTCCTTGTAATGAAGGAGCAGTCTGTTCATGCAATTTACGACACGAATTTTACCATGGGTCATCCGGAAACAGCCTCTCTGTGCTTCAGTACAGGGTAAGGCTCCGTACATCCGACCCCCATTGGTGGGAGCCTTTGCGACACTGGGGTAATGATGATGATGATGAGATTAAAAGGTAAAAACAACTTAAACCTACGTTAAGCCTCCTTAAACGTCACAATAAGTGTCACTACTACTCTCCTATGCCCTGCTCTACTCATGCTACATAGCTACCTCTTACTGCTTGAAAGCAGCACTCAAAAAAGGTGAAACATACATTGGGGCCCAGTTTCGGATGCACGACTTGCCACATCAATTCTAGTGATTTCTCTGTCTGTTCAGGTGCTTCACCCCCAACAAAGGTGATAGTGGCCAAACACTCCAGTAGCTGAAATCATGCCAGCAAGTTGGTGTGAGCAACTAATCTTTCATTTAAACATCAACAACCAGAAAAGATTAAACAATTACATACTGATGATATTTTAACAGAATCAATACGAGATTTGAGAGCTTCTGAGATAGGAGACACAGACTCTTCCAATATCTCTCGTGCCCTATCACCAGGACCTATAGTCAAAGCCAGAAGCCCTGTCGTGCAATCATGTAAATGTTGTCAAGCGCCCAGCAATATGAAGGTCTTACCAAAAGCAACAAATAAGAAGCATTTAATTTATCACTAACCAATAAAGTGGGATGCCAATGCTATCTCCTTTGAGGATCCCTTCTTAATAGAATTAAGAGATTGATGAAGCAGGGTTGCAAATCTGAATCAGAAAAGAATATTGTTGGGAGCCTAAAGGGTTTGTCGTATTGATAAAATATTGTGGAGAGCCAGAGGTATGTCATATTGGCTTGGGCTCAATTCAGCCATCAGAAATTGGGCAAAACAAATCCAATCTATTAGCTAGTTCAATCTAATATTATTAAACTATCATTCTCTTTTTAATTTTCTGATGTAGGATTTTGAAACGTTCCTCAAGTGAACAGCCGGACTATTTTGTATCTACAAACCAATTAACCAGTTGCACTGCTCTCTCACTAAACTCAAAATCGAAATGCAGTGATCACTTGATGGGCATGAGATGCTTAGGTTGGACTTCTACACTTACAGATGGTACTTCCAGATGCGGGCAAAAATTTCACTAATACAATGACAGAATTCATGATTGGGTTGTGGTCACTCAACAGGAGCATTATGCACTATGGGCCAAACTGCACTAAAAGATTATCCAATCGATTAACTAGTTCAACCCGATGTACTATTAACTCATTCTCTATTTAAAGTTTCAATTTATATTCTGATGTTAGAAACAGACATATATGTTTCCACTGCAGGTTATTTGGGACAAGGATTAATAGGCCTCTAGGATGGACTCCCAAACCAACATGACAACAGTCAGGACACACAAAGCAGTCTAAAACATGCTCGTATACCATGGTAAAAAAAAACTGAGGTTGAGGTCACTAACTAGACAAAAATACACTTGGATCAAAATAAACTAAAAGGCTTAATCTGATGTTTAAACTAGTCTGACCCAAGGTCATATTAAGTCATCATTTAATTTTAGGGAAAAGGGGCAAATAAGCCCTCAAACTAATAAAAAAAGTGCAAATAAGCCCTTTTGTAGGAGGTTCTGTCCGATCATCGTCATTTGGGGAGGTTCTCGGTGGAATTTTTTGATGAATTTTTTTGAGCATCTTCTTCATTAAGTCTAGTTTAACCATATCGAATATCAGCTAAAAATTCAACCGGGAAGGCACTCAAATGATTTTCGGAAAAATACTGCGTTGTTTAACTGTGCAGTTATCTTCAAAAATTCATTTGACTGTCTTCCCTGTTGAATTTTTAGCTGAAATTCAGTAGGACTAAACTAGACTTAATGAATAAGATGCTCAAAAATTTTCATCAAAAAATTCCACCGTGAACCTCACCAAATGACGATGACCGGACGGAACCTCCTACAAAAGGGCTTATTTGCACTTTTTTTATTAGTTCGAGGGCTTATTTGCCCCTTTTCCCAAACTCCCTTAATTTTATGATGTATTTTTCAATGTAAAACTCTAACATATAGGTTAGAATCGTAAATTGGTATAACTCAATACTAGAACACAATAAAAGATAGTTCAAAGAGAAACTATTGAAAGCATAATAACTATTAAGCTTAAAAAAAGGGTGCAAAACATTAACTTACTTCTTTTCAACAAATTCATGCTGCACACTGCTATTAAAAGCTTCTATCATTGACGCCAATGCCTTCTCTCTAGTAGATCCCCTAAAATGAAGACAAAACCAATTGAGAACTAATGACGCCTAAAAATCAAGAGGCACCCTAAATTTTTCCAAGATACCAAATATGGATTGTAATCAAAGCGAGGAAACCAAACTCAAAATCTTCAAAGTTCTAATTGCTTCCATACTTTCAAGAATACGCTTTAGCTTAACAAGTGAGGTAAGAAATATGATACCTTTTCTCGTAAAGGGAATCTAAGCATTGATCAAGAAAAGTCTCCTTGTCTAGCTTTACTTCTTCTCCACTATATACTAACATATCTGAATGAGCAGTTGATGATGAACTCATGCTATCTGTATCATCGCTATCTAACATGGCAGCACTCTTACGTTGAGAACTCCCTATAGTTTCAACCACCCAAAAAATAAAATCCATTAATCTCAAATCCATACTGAACTCAGCATTAATGAAACACAAAAACAAGTACTCGTAATTAATGGGTATTGACCACAAATTTCATAAATGAAGTAGCTCCCCGTTTATATATACAGGGTGCCCGAAAATCTCACACTTGATACAATTACACAGACTAATTACTTAAAAAAAAAGTAGAAGAAAAATCATTCTACGATTAGCTTACAAGCTAAACAGTACGACTTGATTTTTTGTGTGAATCAAAACCAAGGAAATTAAAAAAAAAAACGGCAGTAAACAGAAATTGAAAAAAGCTTACTTTTACCCATGGTGAGAAGTTTCAAAGCAGCAAGAGTTTTCCAAAGGTTAGAAAGAAATACAAGGTTGACTTATGATAGGAAGACGTAGACCGGAGGGCTGAGATTGAATTGAAGAAAGAAAAACGAAACAGAGCAGCAGATTATTATTCTTTCGTTCGATGATTGAATCGGAGATCAACGTATCCATAAAGATAGCAGCTTTGTGATATTCAGAGAGTTGGTGTAGGGAGGGGTTTCTGGATCGAACTGGAAAACAGGGAGAAAAACTTTAATTAATACGGAGTCGGATGATACAATGGGAGAAGTAAAAAATATATTCGGATTCCAGGGGTTGAATATTCGTGCCCGGTGCGGAAGGCAGCAACGCGGGTGAATTTGGTGACTACTAGTGGGCCTTGTCGGATCCTATAAAAACAACGCGGGTGAATTTGGTGACTAGTGGGCCTTGTTGGACCCTATAAAAACAAAGTAAAGCTTGAGATCATAAAATGTCAGCTGTCATTTTATGATCATTTAGGCTTTGTTTGCAACCACTTCTGCTTAAATAAAAGCAATTTTAGGGAAAAAGTGATTAGTAGTAAAAGTTGGTAGTGTTTGGTAAAATAAGTGCTTTTTGTGTAATAGAAAAAGTAAAAAGTAGATTCTACACGGAAGCCGAGAAAGTAAAAGTTGGTAGTGTTTGATAAAATAAGTGTTTTTTTCTTAAAAAAAAGTTAAAAGCACTTTTTTTAATGGGTTGCAAACAGACCCTTAAAATGTCAGCTTGTTGTCCCAGATCACACCAGATCCGAACAGACCAAACCAGACCAGACTTGGATAGTTATAAAAATACAAAGAGATCAGATCGGACCAGACCTGCAAATAACAATCCAAATAAAAACATCATTATTCCTCATACATACCCTTATAATTTTCATTTTTTCTTTTTTTTCTTATCAGAAATTACACTATGAGATCCTTACATCCTCCCCATCATGTATCGTTCTCAAAACGATGTCGTTTTGCTTAATAAAAAATTAGATTCTTCCGTTATTTGTGTAGCCGACCTTTTTATGTGTTTATTTATGTTGTCTTTCTTCTTCTTTGTGATTTCGACTCTGATTTTCTGTTTCAATTAATTTTTTTGTTGATGATTCAGTTATTGTGAATTCAACAATTGAATTCAACGATATTGTTCAGAGTAATATACAGGATCGTAGCATGATTGATTCAGTCGCTCCAACTAATTTTGAATATGATCAACTAGTTAAGTTGAATTGATCAGTATGTGTTAATGTTTTTTGTTGCATAATTTTTTTCCCTACGCGTAATGTGACGTAATATCTTTTACTTTGTGTTTTATACTTTTTACCATTGTGTGAGAGTTTGGGTTATATTGTTGATATTTTATTATGTTTTGTTGTTTTTTATTCAGGAGAAGAAAATATAGGTTCAAGTACTTCTAAATTGTTGTATCTCCTCATTTTTTCATTTTGGAATTTTGTGTTACTTGCGTTATGTTTTGTGTAATTTTTTCATTGAATATTATGTAATCGCAGCTCAAGTTTTGTAACTTTGGTTCAGTAGATGTGCTTAGCTGTTTTTTTGTTTTCATATATACGGTTTGTAATCTTTCATACGTAGTGATGGACCCGGGCCGGGCCAAGGCCCGGTCGGGCCTCGGGTCTGGTAAAGGTAGGCCCGGGACCGGCCCGGGCAATGGCCGGTTCCGGTTCGGGCCGGGCCACCCGGTCGGGTCACGTGTCGGGCCACCCGCCGGGCCGGGCCGGGCCAGTATTTTTTTTTAAATTAATTATATATTATACAAATTCCTATTAAAAACAAAGTTCAAGTGCATTTATTTGAAATAGGAACTACATTTGAGAATTGAGAAAAAAATAACAATACGAAATACATTTTCTAATGAATATCAATTGGGATTTCCGCCACCGTTGGTTGTTGTTTTCCCTTTGTCACAGGACTTCATATGTTTTATTGGCATCCCGTATCCGTGTGAACGCCCCAAGCAACACTCTTTCTTGCACCACTTGCAAGTTGCCCACCACAGTCCGGTCTTCGGGTCCTTCCACTTGTCAACATTGTTTTGCATAAGGGAAGATGTACTTTCCATATTTAAAATGGTATATGTATAAGTAGAGATGACCCCGGGCCGGTTCGGGGCCGGTTCGGGCCTAGGTCCGGCCGGGCCTCGAGTCTGTTTTGTTGGGCCTGAGCCCGAACCGGTGGCCACCGATTCCGGGCGGGGCCAGGCCACCCGGTTAATTTATTTTTTTTTTCTTTTCTCCCCCCCCCCCCTCACCCCCACCCCCCCAAACCCCCCAAACCGGTCCTAAACATCAAGCCCAACTCAATAAAGCCCAAAAAAATGAAAAAAAAAAACAGTTTTTGGCCCGGACCCGGGCCCGACCCGGCCGGGCCGGTTCGCCAAATACAAGGCCCGAGCCCGGACCCGCCCCCCCCCCCCCCACCGGGCCTAGGCCCGACCCGGACCCGGACCCGAGAACCGGGCCGGTTCCGGGCCCGCACAGTGGCGGGCCGTGCCGGTCCCGGGCGGGGCGGCCCGAACCGGGTCCACGTATGTGTATAAGTATGATTGTAGGAATGTAGGATAATAAGAGAAGATGAAGATGGAGAAGAGTTGAAGAAGAGTTGAAGAAGAGGTGTAGAAAAATGTTAGAAAATAGATGTATTTATAGATGTTTTTGAACCCCACTCCCCACACCACCACCCCCAGGACCCTCCTGCCTCCCACCCATAGCCCCAACGGCTATATAGCTGTTTGGGAGGCTTTATTTCAAAAAAAAAAAAAAATTAAAGTTATACATATTGTAAAATAAATTAATTAATTTAATGAATTAAGTAAAACTATTTGTACTTAGAAAAGTGGTTTGATTTATAATTTACAAATGTTACAAAATAGGTGTATAAGTATTTAAACAAAATACATATTGCAAATGTATTTTTAATTTAAAAACCGGCTTTATATTTTAGAAAAATAATTTTAAGTCGTTAGTTTGTAACCAATTAATTAATTTGAGAAGTGCTACATATGAAAAAGTGAACGCATATTTATTTGAAATATGAAGTACAAGTTTACAAATTAATTTGAAGTACAACTACAAGTTTACAATTTTGAAATACGAAGTACAAGTTTACAATTTTGAAATATGAAGTACAAGTATAAATAAATTTGACAAGTGCTACAAAATACATTTTATAATAAATTCTAAAATACTAATCAATCGGAATCTCCGGCATAGGTAGAGCCACCATCGGTTGTTGAGTCATCCATAAAATCTTGGGAGGGGGTGATGTTCATTTCTTGAGTTCTACGTGCGGCCTTCAACCAATCGTGGTAGCATATAAGCGTCTCAAGAGACTCCGCGCTCAATCTCGATCTAGATGCCGTTAGGACGTTGCCGGCCGAACTAAATTCTTGTTCCACAGCAACTGTTGAAATCGGCATTGATAGTACTTGCTTAGCCATCCATGCTAAAATCGGGAACGTTCTTTCTTTTGACTTCCACCAGTCAAGAACGTCAAAGTCATCATTTTCTTCAAAATCAACTTCATATGTTAAATACAAAGTAATCTCATTCAATACACTTTGTTCAGTGACGTGAGTTGTTTTTGTTTTTTTCATAAGATTGCCAAATGCAGAGTTAAAAATCGATTTTCCTTTAGATGAAGATGTTCGTGACGGGGGAGGGGGAGCGTTGCTATATTGTGCACGAAACTCATTAAATAAGGCATAAAATAAAGTACTAACCTCGTTGTATTCCGTTTTCGGATCTATGGGGTTATCGTCATACATTGGAAATTCACCAAAAAACACAAGATAATAGAAGTTGAAACAATCTTCCAAAGTAGCAAGTCTATAACGAGGATCGAGAATAAATGCAATACTATAAATATGGGGAATATGCGCATAATATTTTAAAAACTTTTCCTTCATATAATCACAAAAATAATGAACGAAAACGGCATTCTCAAATTCTTTAAAAGCACCGGCGAGATTAACAACTTCACGAATAAATTGGTTTGCGGTAGGTTTATAAACATGACTAAAAGTTTCAGTAGCATTAAAAAAAATATCAAAACATTACAATTTTTTTTCGCAAGTGTCGATCTCAGCCGCGTTTATAATATAGTTATCATGTTCTTTTAAAAAAGCAGGAAAATGTTCTTTATATCTAAGAACAACTTTAAGTAATTTATAAGTACTATTCCAACGAATACTCAAATCTTTAGGAAAAGCAACATATCTCACACCTCTTTCAGTCAAATAAGTTTGCCATTTTAATCTAAGTTGACCATTACCCCAAATACGTCTAATCCCCCCCTTGATTACCTCCATGGAATGTCCTAACGCTTTTAAACCGTCTTGCACACATAAATTTATAACATGGCATGCACAGCGTTGATGAAAAAATCTACCCATCAAAGTATTGGCACCACACAACTCACGCAATCTAGGTATAGCAACAGTATTATTAGTAGCATTATCGAAACCAATAGCAAACACCTTATCAATCAAATTATACTCAATTAAAATACGCTCAATCAAAATATAAATATGTTCAGCGGTGTGACGATCATTAAATTCACGAAAAGCAAGAACACGTTTATGCATATTCCAATCCTCATCAATATAATGTGTAGTCAGACCCAAATAATATAAATGATGAAAATCATCCTCCCATATGTCAGAACGAATAGTAACACGCCCATCAAAGTTTGCAAAAAAAATTTGTAACCTTGCCTTTTCCGCATTATAAAGCCCAAAGATGCTTGTGAGGATCATGCTTCCTGTTTGCATACTTTTGCATAGCCTTCTTTGTTGGAAAGAAGTCCCATATACTATCAAGAGCAGAGAGGGGCTTAACCTTGGGCTTCTGAGGTTGACCAGACAACCTCTTTTGCCTGTAATTAATTTTCTCTTGATATCTGCCTTTCTGATAGTGATCTCTGATACGGTTATCATGAGGATGTCTGATAGATTCTGGCCTTTGAATCTTATTGTTCTGAAAATTTTTATTGTGGTTAGGTCTTCTGCCTGGTTCATTATTTTTCAAAACTTGTTTTGATTTGGCCTTTAATTTTTGGTTCTCTGGTGGGACTTTCTCATGAATAACCTTAGTACTAGAGGTACTAGCATGGCAAATGGGGCTGCAAGTCTGTGAAACTATGACCTTTTTAGCTTTAGCAACTTGAGTGCTAGGCTTTACAGAAGTTTCACCAGACTTGATTCCAACATATCCAAGACCGGGGGTAAGATTGTGAAAGTCATCGATGCCCTTCATAGAAGATTGCATCTTCAGAAGGCTA